TTGGCCCAAAGTTGGAGGCTCGGACCCGCGCTCCGGCGCGGAGCTGAGAACCGGGTTGAACCGGGTACCTCCGCCCCGGGACCCACAAGCCGCCGGAATTCGCCTGTACCCCCTGGTCCAGAGCTGCGGCGTCCGTTCCCGCCTTTGCCCAGCTCTGGGTCTTCGAACCTTGCGTCCCTGAACAAAGGATTCCTGTCGGAGAGTTTGACTCGTTTCTCTTCAAATGCAAAACCGAAATAGGCCTTGGCACAGCTGGGGATATCCTGCAAAACAAGACAATTCAAGTACCTGACTCCGGAAAGCAAAGAAGCCAACTTGTTGGTGTTGCCATACTGGTGACCACAATCCCTGCAGCCCTTCTCACTTTTGCATCTTAGCTTTTTATTGCTTGTTTCAGAGGTTCAAACTCACGGGGAGTCCAAAATACGTTGATTAATGTACGCCTGAAGGGGACGTACACAGCCTGAAACGAATCCATTTCAGGGTACACATTTGTCACTATTGAAGTAATTTGTAAAGTGGTAGAAAGCACTTCTTTTATGGTAATATAACATCTGGCATATGCTCGCGTTTCCCAAGGTACGCTGTTGCCTAGTCCTCCCTCGCCTGAAAATCACCAGACCTCGGATTCTCAGGTGTACTGCAGTGGAGTCTGAGGAGGCAGAGGGAATCTCAGTAGAATCTAGGCTCACAGTGAAATAATGCCACAAATCTTTAGTGTGTTTAGGAAAGTTAACAGGCTGTGCAGGATTCTTGGAAAGAGATTTAAAAGCCTGTTTCATCGTTCCAGATGTTTCCGGGGCCCCCTCGTAATTACTATATTCAGTATCTCACCATTCCCGTTTCCTACTTGGAAACCATTGGTACTCCCCAGTTGATGTTCCTTATAAACTATTAAAAATACACGCAGAATACCTTGACGAAAGTAACGACTACACTCACATACCCCATGGAAATGATGGTGTTTCTTCAGGATTTAACACAGCAGTTCCCAAAGAGAAGACCTTGACTTAAGTTTAAGAAAAGGTGAAAAAATAAATAAATAAAAAGGCAGCAACAGCAGCATTAGGGCAAAAATAATAGCAATACTGGGTAATTATAAAGAATAAAATACATGATTAAATGAGCTTTCTGAAAACTTGAAGGATAGCTTTGCCACGGGCGAGGAACCATGTCTACTCACTGACTTGCCATGGAAAATGATCTCTGACTTCCGTGGGAGGAAATGAATTGATAAGTTCAAAGTTTATCTCTGGGAATATGGAGTTAAAGGTACATAGTAGGTGCGTTAATTTTTTTTTTTTTTTTTTTTTTTGGCTGTAGGGTATATGCACTTGCCACTTGCCAGGGACAGAGAGAAAGTGAGAAAGCATCCCTCAGGATTTTGGGCAGGTCCAGCGTGCCTCTCAACCCACTGGGTCTGGGACTCAAAACAGCACAGCCAGCCATGTGGAATCCAGCCACCTTAACCTCCACACCATCTGCTGACCCTCAATAAATATTTCTTAAATGAAAGTGAATTCGAAGACTGATCGGAGATTTCCAGTACGGTCAATGGTGAGCTCAATCTGCTCTCTGTTGCGCTTCAGGAGAATCTATACTAAGTGGGTTTTTCAGGGCGTGGTTGAAACATGACAGATCAGAGCCATTGGCACTAACCACAGGCATTTTCCCCAGGGCACTCAGCATGTGATTAGACTCAGTCTTTCAGACACCCTCAAGTCATACTGAGTTCTTAGTCAAATACACTGTCCTGCCTCTGGGCACAGAAGTTTCCTCAGCTTTTGATTGCAAAAGAGGAAAGAAACAGTTTTTCTGTTAGTCTGACACAACTCTCATTCCCAGACAACCCTAGCTTTGGCTCAGCGCTTGTTCAGCTGCTGTATTCTAGGGGACAAGTCTACCAGCTTGAGAAGGCTCATCTCAGAATGCAGGCATCTTTACTAATTAGAAAATGGTCAACATAAATACACCTTTAAAGGTAAATCTGGAACCCAGAAGATGAGAAGTTTTCCAGATCTTTAATGAATCTTAGAGATTGTTAAGACAATTGATGCAGTTGGTGTAGTTCATCAAAGCACGCAATGTCCCTTTTATCTATTTACTGGTGTATTCTAAAGCTCTCACTAAAACATGCAAACAGCAATAAAAAGCTCTTAATAATAAGTTCCATTACCACACATAAAAAAGGATATGTGTTTGCCAAATCAAAATGTACAATACGGACCGGAAATTTGATTTTGAAGCCTCTAAGATAACGGTAATACGATGAGTCATTTCTTAAAACTTTAAAAGCTAGAGAGTGACCTTTCAATATTATCTTTGAAAAATGGAAATTAAAAAGTCTGTTTTCTATCAAGAGTTTAAATCCAGTCTTAAATTTTAAAAAAAGCAAAAAAATGGTATTAAGTACTATCATGGTTTACTTATTCTAGAAAATAAGATGCAATCTTTACACAACAGAAGTTATTCCAAACGCATTTCTCCTTACTTTCAAATTTGCTTTTGGAGGAAATGTTTCCCTATTGATAAGCTTAAAGCAAGATCAACTTCTTGAATTCAGACCTGTGTACCTGTGTAGACCCTATTATTTTTTTCATTTTAGGCGAAATTGGGATTATAATTCTATATTGAGTAATTATTTTAATGTCAAATTATTTTGATTGTGTCTTAGTTATTAATGGCTATTTCCAAGTGTCACAGTAGAAAAAAAGCTTGATAGGGAACCAGCAGTTAGTGTAATGGCTATGTCGCTGGACTCCCATGTAGTCGACCACGGTTCGTGTCCCGGACCCGGTGGCTTAAAACTCACGCCGGGCGCGTGTGCGTGCGTGCCCAAGATCCTGAGAGGAGAATGGAGGAGAAGGGATTGCGGCGTGACCATCCCCCCTGGGGGGTGATTTCTCGCTTTCTGTCTCTATGTCTCTCTCTGTCTGTCTGGCGAGCGCACGCGCCCTACAGTGAAAATCTCTCAAAAAAAAAAAAAAAAAAAAAAAAAGCTTGATAGAAAAAAAAACTCACTGAAGCTTGCCTTTAGATTCCTGAGAGTCAGGGGGATTTTGTACTGGATGAATATAAAACTAACTTTCTAGAACAGAAAATAAAGATTTATTTAGTGTGACTCAAAAAAACCTTTTTTTTAAAAAATGGCTAACTGGTGACCTGGTAGCTAAGGCAACAGTTCAAGTCCAGGAGCCAGCAGCTTGAGAAACATGCCAGGCAGAAGGGAAAGATGGAGGAAAAGGGATTGTGGCATGACCATGCCCCATAGGAGCCTGGTCCTAGCTCTCTCTCTCTTTCCAGCAAGTGCACACATCCTCTGGAAAATAAAACATTATTTTTTTTGTTAAAATAAAATTCAGAGTAGGATTGTCAGATTATTGCTTTGAAACCGTTAATTCTGTATTAGTAATTGCACCATGGAAACAGGACCCAGAAACTGGAAAAGGTAGGGGCGTTCAATTTTCCAAAATCTCTTGGTTGTAAGTGATTGCACCACATACTTGCAGGCAGTAGACAAACAGAATCATACAGTCCTTTAACTAGAAGAAACTCAGAGGTGGTCAGAACTAAGGTGAGTGAGATACAAAAAACAGCCGAGGATAGATCAGTGGTTTTTTCACCTTCAAAGTTAATGCTGCTGTGGAGCTGAGTATGAATGGGTAACAGGAAGCCAGAGGCCTGGGCGAGGAGGAAGCGTAGTTTCCATGTACTGAGAACTCAGTACATGCCAGAAATTTAACTAGGCTTTTCATTTCCCTTAAAGCTCTAACAACCCCAGAAGTTTTAACAAGAAGGAAGTGGACTATGCAACGCATAGCAAGGATTTGAAAAGGAGTTTTGGGTCCACTGAGACATTAAGAGAGAAGCAGGATTCCATAGAATAAGAGGTTAAAACATAGGCACTGAATGTCAGCTTCCAGTTAAAGTGAATTTAGCAGAGCTTTAAAAAAAAAGATCCTGGTCTAGCTTGCGTCTTAATGGTTAAGGGAGCCAGATCCCTCATGGCTAACTTCACAGTTCAAACCCCAGCCCTGGTGGCTTAAAAAGAAACATGCCAGCCACATGTATACACATACCCCAAATCCAGATAGGATAGGAAAATGGAGGAAAAGGGGTTTGAGAGTGACCATGTCATTTGAGGGGTTGGGTGCTTTCCCCTGTTTCTCTCTGGTAAGCTCAGTCACCTTTTAGCAAATAAATATCCTTTCAAATCATGTTACAATAGTCCCTCCTTAAACTCCAAGATCCAGAATTATTCTCTAAGTTAGTTGAAAGAACAAGATACATAAGCCTCTACACCCCAACCAAATGGTGATGTCAGACTTAAACTATTTTTAGTGCAAAGGATACCTTCTTGGGCTATTTTAAATAAGGAGGACTCTAATGTGTGTGTGTGTGTGTGTTTCCTTTTATATTCATGATAGAGCATGTACATATGTG